CTGGGTGAATTAAGTCGGATTCCCCAGAGGCGGGACCTGACCGTTGTAATTTTTAAAACACCTCCTGGTGTTTCTAATGTGCAGCCGGAATGGAGCAGCACTGTCCTAAAGAGTCCAGCTGGAAGTCACAACAGCCGGCTGCCACCCTGCCTCCTTTCGGACACGCGGGGTGTTAACCACAGCTGGGTCTGTCGGAACAAGGTACCACAGACAAAGAAATGGGTTTTCTCACAGTTGTGGAGGCTGCACGTCCCAGGGCCACGTGCTGGCGGGTGGGTTTCGGCCGAGACTGCTCCTTGGCCTGCACAAGGCCACCTTCTCTCTGGGTCTTCCTGTTCCTCGGGAGCAGCCCTGGCGCCTCTCTGTGCGTCCAATTTCCGCCAGTCGGATTGGATTAGGGCCCACCCAATGGGCCTCATTTTAAGTTAATCACCCTTTTAAAGGCCTACCTCCAAATACAGTCACACCTGAGATACTGGGGGTTAGAGTTCCAACGTGTGGCTGTGGGGGGAGACACAACTCAGCCCGTAACGGGTGTGTGATAGGAAACCCTGAGGCTCCAGGAAATGCTGCATTTCGTCATAGGTGCAGAACTGACGCTTTTCCTGCTTCCATCATGATTAAGCATGTGACGTAACAGGAGAAAAGAAAGTCTTTGCCCCTTGAACCAAAACGAAGAAATTCGCTCTGCCTGGTTATGGCCCCAAGATAACAAAAACTTGAATATGTCCTATAAACCTTAATTCTTTTTTTTTAAATGGGGTGCTTTATCTTTGATCTTATGATAGTGGTGTCTATAAGTATAATGTAAATTTTGAGAATATGATAGTCGTGTGAACATTTTTTCTCATCACGAACAGAAGAATAAAAACTAACATAAATCACATAAGAAATATAAGTAAAATATGAATATACACCAATGTTTTAAATGTAATAATCTCGTTAAGTATTTTTCCACCAAACACCTGTTGTTTTTATTTGGCATATCAATCCTCTTGAAGTCTCACAACCTTACATATTTTTTATTTGATTGATTTTAGAGAGAAAGCAGGGGAGGAGAGGAAGAGAGAGAGAGAGACATCAGTTTGTTGTTCCACTTACTTAGGAATTCATTGGTTGCTTCTTGTATGTGCCCTGACCAGGGATCAAACTCACAACCCTGCCATATCCAAACGACACTCTAACCCACGCAGAGCAACCTTGCACTTTGAAAATGAAGAAAGAACTCTCTATACTTTCCCCCAACGTTTGTGCTTCTGAGTCTTCTTGCAGGTCTAGAGGTTTCGGGAAGCTTCACCCAAGGAAGGGGCCTCCCCTGCCAGAGCTGACTAAACAACTTCACCTGAGAACCCTTGTGGCTCAGGTGCTGGGTGAACCCCACGCGCCGTGTTCGGGCTCTGGAATGAACCTCGTGCAGCAGTAGGGCTTTTTACCAGCGCGGCCCTTCTTTCTCTTCCTGACTGTAGTTTCCTGGCTGTTTCTGGATCACGTCCGGCTGCAGTGCCGGTAGGAGCTCGGGCAGCCATTTAAGCCCTGGGGGTGACTGAGCAACAGGAAATCCAGTTTCTGGAATCTCTATCTGGTGCCAAGCAGTGGTGGGGTGTGTTTCTCTGTCTTGTTGGTTTCTTTGTTTGACCGGGGGAGTCAAATCCCTTCTGTTGTTGAAATGCTGGTGCAAACATCCTATAACATGAGATGCGTTTTAGAAATATTCCAGACTAGCCACAAGATTTGGTATGAAAGCAGTACCATCTGGCCCTGGGCAAGGAGGCACTAACTTGTGGTGAATCGATTTTCCTGGGCCCCAGTGGAAGAGGAGCTGGGGCCCAAAGAGCGTCGCAGAGTGGGCGCTAGGCTTGGGTCTCTTCCCAGACAAGGGCACCTCTCCTTCTGGGAGGTCACATCCCTCCAGAAAACGCCCTGGGCCAACTGGAAAAGCAAACAACCTTCCCTTTCTTTTTCTTTCTTTCTCTCTCTTTCTTTCTCTCCTTCCTTCCTTCCTTCCTTCCTTCCTTCCTTCCTTCCTTCCTTCCTTCCTTCCTTCCTTCCTTCCTTCCTTCCTTCCTTCCTTCCTCTCTCTCTCTCTCCCTTCCTTCCTTTCTTTCTCTTTTTCTTCCTTCCTTCCTTCCTTTCTTTCTTTCTTCCTTCCTTCCTTTCTTTCTTTCTTTCTTTCTTTCTTTCTTTCTTTCTTTCTTTTTCTTTCTTTTTCCTTTCTGATTTTATTATTTTTAGAGACAGGGAAAGGGAGGCAGACATAGAGGAAGAGAAACATCGGTAAGTTGCTTCTCACATGCCCCCAACTGGGGAACCCGGCCTGCAAAGTGCCTTGACCAGGAATTGAACAAGCAAACCTTCCTATTCTCAAGCCTGGCAGCACTCAGTCCACTGAGCCTCACCAGCCAGGGTAAGGAAAACAACCTTTTGAGATTTTCAGTGGCTGGGCCTGTGAGCTTCTGTGTTTTATTTTATTTATTTTTTAATCTCCAGCTGAGATTATAAAACTAAAGCTACTTGTAAGGGAGAAAATTTTTTTCTTTTTCTAACTTTACAAAAAGAAGGTAATTAAATATATTATTTATCATAATTTGTAGTGTGGCTACCCCTCCTTCTCTTCTTCCACTTTTCATTTTTTTCCTCCTCTCCAAAAAACTTTCAGAAATTAATTGGGTATAAAGATCTTTCATCTAGTCAGATCAAAGGGGGAAAAAATGAACAAATTACATTATAAAGTTATATTTTCAGGGCACTTGTCTTGATTGGCATGTAGAAACACTTATAATTTTAAATAACAATAATTTCAAAGGTTTAAAATGAATTTAAAAGTAATCACAGAAAGGAAAAAAATTTTAATGTTTTCATTGTGATAGTTCTTTAAGAAAAAACTTCAAAACCTTGCTGAATCTAGAAAAAAATTAACTCTCAGACAAATTAATAGCCTTGGTTATAGTTTATAAAATAAAAAATAAAGGAATGCTACAGAACTTACAACATAACTTTAAAGAACTTTTAATACTTGGTTTGTAAATACAGATGTTTATAAAGAACACGTCTCTTTAAAAATTTAAGAAATAGTCTTGTTCAAGCTGAAAATTTTCATACAAAGCCAGTCTTCCTGATTTTATCATAATACAAAAAAGAATATTCTAGCTTATACAGAACTTGGGTTTATTTTATTATGGCAAGGAAACCTAAATAATTTGAATGTGTAAAGCTTTATGAGTCAAGAAAGTTCTTGTTATTATAAGAATGCAAAACTATTTGTTTACCTAAATAAAAATATAATGACTAATGTCCTTTAAAAGGGTTTACTCTTGTTAAATGTTCATAATTATATATATCATGCATACTTGTGAAATTCCATACCCATAAAAAGTCCTTATTTTAAAAGTGAAATGAAATTCATGCAACATAAAATTAGCCATTTTGAAGGGTGTAAGTCAGTGGTATTTAGGACTTTTGCATTGTTGGGCAACGGTCAGCTCTACCCCGTTCCAGAACTAGATGGGGTTCTCATGGCCCCAAAGAAGACCTCAGACCCATTGAGTAGTTACTCCCGACTGACCCCTTTCCCTGGCCCCAGGCGGTCACAGTCTGCTCTCCGCATCTGCGGATTTACCCGTTCTGGATGTTTCATATAAATGAAATCATACAATGTGTGGCCTCGTCTCTGGCTTTTTCCACTAGAATAATGTTTCTGAGGCTAACACACTGTAGCATATGTCAGGACTTCATTCATTTCTACGGGCGAGTAGAAATGAAATCTCCTGGTATGGATAGACCATATTTGTGTATCCATTCATTTGTGATGAACATTTGGGTGTTTCCACCTTTTGGCTACCGGGAATGGGGCTGCTATAAACATTCTTGTACAAATAGTTGTTGGATTACCTGTTTTCAATTCTTTTGAGTATATACCCAGGAATGGAATGTCTGGGTCATAGAGTAGTTCTATATTTTTTAACTTTCTCAGCAACAATTGAATTGTCTTCCACAGTGGCTATACCAATTTACATCCCCATCAATTAGCTTTAAGACTTTAAACTAATAGTGAATTAAGTAATGAGTATATATCTGATACACCTGAAAACACCAGTTTTACTATACTCTTGCCATCATTTCAAAGGTTGAACTAGATGTACAAAAAAAAAGTACAAATAGGTGTACTTTCAGATTTTTTTTAAAAAAGATATATTTGATTGCAGATATATATGCAAGATAAGTGTAGTTTTTTAAATTGTCTGGTGTTGTTTTACATAAAAGAAAATGAAAAGTGATAGGAGACAATCGTAGAGAGGATGAGAAAGGTGAAGGAATTAGGCAAAAACCAAACAAACAAAAATCACAGACAAAAGTATGGTGACTACCACAGGGAAAGGGGGTGGGGGAGGGAGAAGAGGGTCAAGGGTGGAGGGGGAAGTGATGGAAGGAGAATTGACTTGGGGTGGTAAACACATGGTATGATCGTACACAGGAAACAAACATAATTTTATGAACGAATGTCACCCCAATAAATTCAATAAGAAATATTGTAGAGATATCCTTTGTACCTATATTATCTTTGGAATTTCCCAGATGTCTACTGGTTATCACAAAAATTTTATCTCTCACCTTTAACAATAAAAGATAATAGAAATAATCTGCATTCTCTAGTTCTAATGTACTCAAAAGTATTATGTCCACAATGAAGCACCAGCAAGTCAAAAAGCTAAACCTCTGTATTGATTATATATACATACAATTTTATTAGTACAAGTGTTTGACAATTATGATATTGTGTGTCAGAAACATACTTATGCTCACGTACAAAAATGAACACAACAATTGTCAAGAAATCTAGCAGAAGTAGGGCCTGCTTGAGTGTGATTGGTAGAGTAATAATATGGGTGTGATCATTTATAGTTTTAATTTGAACATTTCACTTACAATGTCATATTGAAACCAGAAAAGCCAGTGTTCATGCTGCCTGTCACCCACCAGACCCAATAAGCAGAGACAGGGACTGAATCTTTATGGGCACTTTATTCAAATGGCCGGCGATCTGAAAAGACAGCAGGTTTGTACCCTAACAGACCATCTTACATTCTATTTTAAAATGGCTTTTTTATAGAGAGAACAAAGTATAGGTAAGGGGTTTGGAATTCAGTGAGAAGTTAATTGGATAAAAAAACTGCAGGGTTCTTGTCCTGGAGCACAGTGGCTCAGATACAATCTCAGATTCCTTGCAGTCTGCCAGAGGCACAATGGTGGGACTGTTTAAGGTCTCCTGAAGTCAGGGTGGGTCACACCTTCAGTCCCTGGAACAATGGCTTTTACGTGCATTACTGAGCTTATTAGCTGTTACTTAAACTAAAATGTTCCCACTTTCAAGTCCCTCATCAATGTGGTGTGCTTGAGTGTTATACTATTATGTTACAGAATTACATGCTTATGATTTTGTAATAAATGATTTTGGAACAAAGAGGGGCATTATTTGTGCCAGATCCTGTAGATTAATTTTTAAAATACACCTCTATTTTCTATATAAATACTCTTGTCAATTGATGACACCCAGAAAACCCTTTGAGGGGTAAATTTAAAGACCCTGGAGATTTGAAAAAGTCCTCACTGTTTATAAGCTGTTCTTACCCTCAGGATAAGCAATAACTACATCTTTATAAATCATTTACTTATTGTCCCGTAATAGAGGGTGCAACGTTCCTGCATCCTTCTATCAGTGGTTATCACAGCAGATAAACCAGACCCTTGAGTCTTGTTCTCCACCGGCGTCTTCCACTTTTTGTGCACGCTCACCTGAAGGTCCCTGCTATAAGAACAGATCAGAAATTGAGTCTTCTGGAAAATAAAAAAAATCAGAAGAGCTTCAGCAAAGCACTGGGGCAGAGAGCAGTTGAAACTGCAAGGAGTAGCCTAGACTCAGGGGCACAAGCTCCCCATTATAAGATGACACCGTCACCCTTCTCTGAGAGACTATCAGGCAACCGAATCAGGATTCCCAGAACTCCCCTCTCCAAAAGCAAATGACTTCATGGGAATAAACTATTTAGTCTGAGATCAGCAAAACTCAAATGAACTCCCTAGAACTAAATGAACAGAATGAACTGATTTAATCATGGCCAGTGTACTATTTGTACATGCACACGTGAGGAAAACATTTCTTTCTTCTTAATTGAACTCTGATCCTCAATTTTTTTAAATTTATTTAAATGTTTAATTTTTCTATTACTTATGCTACTGCAGTTGATCCCACCTTTTCTCACTTCCCCACCTCTGCCCAGCCCCACCCTCTCCTCTCTGTCAATCCCTATAATATTTTCCTTGTCCATGGCTCGTGTATAAATCTGACCCCTGATTTAACAGCTCACACTGTTATGCTGGTAGGAAACACTCTTTCCATGGTACCTTGTTCCAACCATACCCTCAGGTTCTGGGGTGGAGGTGGAATCCTATAAAAGATCTTATCATACATTCTAAATGAATAAATCAGGAGGGAATACTTATGAATAATGATTCTGTAAAAAATACTTTTTAAAATGACAACAATGGCTACACATGACTCACAGTGCCTTCACTGACTCCCACACTGTGTCACCGTGGCGTGGTTTCCATAGGTTCAACAAGAAAGCCTTCTTTTCCAACCAGCATACAGTTGGACAAATCAAATCAAATCTCTGCCAGGATCATGCCAGAAATCCCGTCTGATTAGGTGAGACAGCCCGGGACCACGCCTTGGTGCAGGGAACGAGGCCTTTGGTATCTTCCCACACACAGGCCGGATCTCACTGCTCAGAGGTCATGGAACCCCACCTCGAAGGCGGGCCTGGAACTGTGACAGACAAGGCCTCATCTGGGACCGAGGAGACCCTGATACACTGTGATGGTCCTTTCCACGTCTGGGTCCTGGGCTGCTGGTGTTCTTGGTGAACATCATCTCTGGGTGTGTCTGTGAGGGTGTTCCCAGGTGAGATTAGACTGCCTCTGTCCCGGGTGGGTGGGTCTCCTCCAACTTGCTGAGGGCCAGGGTTTTCCCTCCCCTCCCTCCATCTGCCTGGGCTGGGATAGCTGTCTCCTGCCCGCAGAGGGAAACTTGCAGCATCATTGCTCCTGGCTCTCAGAAGTAGCTTTCTCCACTCCTGACCTTGCAGATCATGGGACACCGCACTGCCCACCCCCCACTCCCCCCCCCCACCCGTCCTGGGATCCAATTCCTTATCATCTACCTATCTTATCATCTATATACCTCCTATTTAATCTATCATCTACCTAGTATCCTTCTGTCTAATCCACCATCTATCTATTCTCTAATCTACCATCGTTTATCTATTATCTATGTATCTATTTTTCTCTCAATCTCTTATTGGTTCTGTTTCTCTGAAAAGCCCAGAATAATACACACACCCAACAGTCAAAGCTACTGCAGGGAAGCCTGGCAGAAGTGACTGTGATTGTTCTTGGTTCATGACCTCAATGGACAAGCTGACAAGGATAATAAAATACATGTGAAATGCTAAATTTATTCTGTTAGGGCCTTTACAAGGCCTCCAGATAGAGGGAACTCTTAAGGCTCAATATCACATTGCTCTAGTTTGTTTTTTTTTTTGGAAAGTACGAAAGGACCTTTGCATATTAAATGTCTGCTATTCCTGTGAAAATTAAACTCACCAATAAAATAAACCATCATGCTAATGATACTGAATCAGAAACTTACTGAGCATCTTGTATAACCGAATCCACACCTGAGGGGCAGGAACTTGGACAAAGGAAGGAGTTGGGAAGCAAAGAAATACTTCGTTCTCCTTCCATTGTGATTACGGATAGGGCAGGCCACAGTCAGGAAACAAACAAACAAACAAAAAAGAATTTGAACCTTGAGATAAACCAAAAATAACAGGGTCACTCTGTCTATGTCTGGTCCATGAGATAATAAAAGCCTGAGCAATTCCTACAAACCTGAGCTCTGTGAACAAAATACAGGGGTGGGCAAAAGTGGGCTTACAGTTGTCTGTATGGAAAAACATATAATACAAGAATAAACTCTGTGTTTTGTGTAGTCACAGCTGTGAACCTACTTTCGCCCACCCTGTAGAGGTTTCGGCCTGACTTGCCCAATTCCAGTGCATGTGGATACGATGATCCCGTGAAAAAGTTCCTGTTTTCCACCGTGAGCAAAAGGACACGAATTTGCCCGACTTGTAATCCTGTGGTTTTCTTCCTTTATTCAGCTCTTTACTAGGAGGGTTCCTCCTTTTGAAGTCTGATTCCCTTCACCTCTTTGCAGGTTAACTTGTTCTCATTCCCTTTTTCTAAATGCGTTTGTCTGTTGGTCCTAGGGAAAACTTGGAGAAAATCACCACGCTTTATGAAGCAGGCACTCCCGTGGATGAGACCTGTAGGGAGGGTTCAGGCCGGTTGTTCCTGAGGGTGCACAGCCCTGTGATCCGTAGAGGGGGCCGCCTGGCTGCTGCCTCTTCTCCCCTCCCAGAGGCACGGGGGCCACAGGCTGCAGAGTCATTGCAAAGAGAGCCCACCAGCCACCTCGGTGGAGGGCTAGTTAGCTACAGGGTGATTGCAGGGGAAGGTCTGTGAAAAGGAGATGTTTGTGTTACAGCCACCAGACGTCAGGAGACCCTCCATGCACTTGCTCCAAGTCCAGGCCTCACTTAGAGGTACCTGCAAACTCCGCCCAGCGCAGCCTGACTCTCAGGACATTTCCATAAGGTCTTGTCCCAGTTACAGTCAGGAAGCACGGCCCCTGGTCCCTGGAATGTGCTAAAGCAGAAAAGGAAAAAAACACACTGCTATTCTCAGTTTAATGGTGAGGAGCTTCGGACTCTCTATCAAACAAGAGATCCAATTGTGTGAGGGCGGCAGGTCACAGCCTCCCCGAGAACACCGCTCTGCGGGGCCAAACGTCCTTCTCAGAGGGACCCCGTGAGTGCCCAATCCCAAAATGAGCCTCTGTGTGCTCTCTGCCACAGAGGAGCTCCAGCCTATCTGTGTGTGACTTTAGACCATCAAAGGTGACATTGAATGCCGTCTCCCAGATTTCGATCACAGCCTTCAGCACCCTGTGATTTAGCCAATAGCAGTTCTGTGGCTCTTGGGGAACAAAAGGCCACCTCCACGGGGCTGGAGAGGACGCCTATGTGGCAGCAGTGGGGAGCAGAGAGGCGCCCTCGGGAAGACCCAGGTGACATGGAGTGTTTGCTCCGTTGCTGCAGTGTGTCACTGGGTTGTTGTGTCCCTTGCACCGTGCTGTCAGAAATGTCTATACAGGACTTCTTCCTTAGTCCACAGGAGTTACGTAGAATGACATCCTTCCTCTTGACACGGAACAGCAGCCTCAGTAAAAGTGAAGTAAGTCCCGAAGGCAGGGAGAAGCGTGTCCTTCCGACTGTGGCCGACCGATGCCTTCAGCAAGGGTGACTCTCAAGTACAGGGTGCTGAGTGAAAAAGAGACACACAGTGAGTGCACGTGGCTACGAGTCCACTCGCAGGAAGTTCTGCAATGGGCAGAATTAGTGTGTGATGACAGAAATGAGGGCGTGGTTGCCTCTGAGTGGCATCCCTGACCAGGAGTCCTAGGCTGGAAAAAAATGATAGTCCCACAACTGAAATGTTGCAGGTTCGATTCCCAGTCAGGGCACACATCTAGGGTGAGGGTTTGATCCCTGGTCCAGGCCCATACAGGAGGCAACTGAGCGATGCTTTTCTCTCTCATTGGTGTTTCTCTTGCTCCCTGTCTAGCCTCTAAAAACAGAGAAAAAATGTCTTCAGGAAAAATAAAATAAAGGAGACCCCATGGAGATCTCTAGCCCTTTTACCACATGCGGACACAGCAAGGAGACGGCTATGAACCCAGGGGAGGGCCTTTACCAGAATGTAACCATGCTCTTGCCTTGAGCTTGAACTTCCCAGCCTCCAGAACTGTCAGCCACAGATTTCTGTCGTTTTTGAGCCTCCCAGTTGGTGGTGTTTTGGTACTGCTGCCTGAATGGACCGAGAAACTACAATTTATGCCTCAACTTTTTCATGTTTTTACAAAGCCCACCACTGACACACACAAGCTCTAAAGTTGGGGTGAAGGAGACCATTCTCTACGGACAAGGACTCGTGTGGAACCCCATTTCCTGCCCTTTGTCTCCCCGAATAGCCCAATGTGGCTCAATGTCCCAAGTTGCCCCTCCCAGCAGGGTGGCCGTCCCACTGATCGTGTGGCCCACATCTGCCGTGTGCTGTGTAGAGATGCTGGCATACAGCCATGGTGACTGCCTCTCTGTGTGCTCGCCTGGCCCAGCAGTATCATCTTCCTGTGATGGAAACATCGCTGGGTGCTTGCCATCCAGATGACGGGCAGGGCTTGGCATCTCCTTGCACCCGCGTCCCTCTGGCCATTTACACTGAGGAAGAAGTGCCCCAGCCTGGCCCAGTCTGACCTGCCTGTCACTCACGGCCCCCAGAGCGCAGCCCACCCACATTGCTGTTTAATTTAATACATTTTCCATCGTTAATCATAATATCCGAGTGCTAATTGGTGCCCCGGTCATGAGTCACTGAGCGTGATAGGACCTGAAGCCTAAGAGGAATGCAAACCCCTGGGGCTGAGTCTGATTCTCACGGAGACGCAGACCTGGGCTCTCACCCCCGCCCGGCCTTCCAGCAGACGCCGCTTCTCCATCTGGCAGTGGCTCCTGCGCTCCCTGCGCTCCCATTGATTTGTGTTCTCAGTGACTGCAGCTCCATTTATGTAAATACAGCAGTATTTACCCGGATGCCATTGGCCCATTAGGCATCGGCACTGGGATGCTAAAGCAGAAAGGACATAAATCAGAAGACATCCTTTTCCACCTTAGAAGCAAAACTCTGTGGCAGGAGAAGCACCCGTATGATTTGCACTTTGGTGCAGTGATGTTTTTAAAAGGGAGCAGCCCTGGCTGGTGTGGCTCAGTGGACTGAGTGTGGGCCTATGAACCTAAGGATCATGGTTCGATTCCCAGTCAGGGCACATGCCTGGGTTGCGGGCCAGTTCCCAGCAGGGGATGCACAAGAGGCAACCATACATTCATGTTTCTCTCCCTCCCTTCCTCTCTAAAGATAAATAAATAAAAACCCTTTTTTAAAAAAGGGAGCAGAGAGGAATCCTTCCCATTGGTTTCCTCGCGTTGGCCAGACCCCTTGCCACATCTCTGAGACTTGAGGAAAACCATCACCTGGGTTCTATTTTTGCCTCATAATACAGACCCGTAGCAAAGGAAGTGGGCATTCGCACTCCCTGAGACTGGGCAATATTCCCGGAGACCTGGTTTGTGCCCTCAGAGGGCTGGCCCGGGCTGCGAGTCTCCAAATGATGTTTTTTCTTTCCAAATAATTGTCCCTGTGGGTGCTCAGTCAGGGCACCAGGTTTAAATTAAAATCCAAAGAGAAAGCAAATGCTACTCATTTTTTTAAGAGAGGGGGGGGAGAATGGGAGGGGAAAAAGGGAGAGAAATGTTGATGTGAGAGAGAAACATCAATTGGTTGCCTCTCGTATACCCTGACCGGGGATCCAACCCATGACCCAGGTATGTGCACCAACCAGGAATCGAACCTGAAATCTTCGGTTATTGGACAATGCTCCAACCAACCCAGCCACACCAGCCAGGGCAATGCTGCTTATTTTTAAACACTTAAATATAATAGTTTTCTGTGTCTGTATTAATTCTGTTCATAGGCTAGGCTGGGTCAAGCAAATCATTCTTTATTTCTATCAGAGTTTTACATTTACAAACGTGATTTAGATTGTTTCAGTTTGTTATTTATCCCTTTTGAATGTCTGAAAGTCAGAGAAGAATTATATTCCCATTTCATATGTGAAACAAGCAAATGAACAAGTAAACAAAAAGAAAGTCAAGGTCACTTAGCAAATTCATGTGTGAGGAAAAGCATTGTAGAACTGAGGGTTCAAATTTCCAATTCACATCATCATTTCTTATGCTTTATGGAATACTCTGGTTTTATATCCATGATTTCCCCCTCGGCTACCCTAAAGAATCACTGGAAAAGTCACTCACCATGGATGCCAGGAGGGTCCAGGGTTCCTCCGTTCGGGTCGGAAGTTTCCCGAAGATAAAGCCCCTGCAATGGATCGGCTTGACCGGCTCTGTCCTGGTCGGTCCCATTGCTGGCATTTTGCAGACAGTGGTTGAGTTAAATTTTGCCAAGCCCCCAGCAGTCCTGCAGATTAGGTTCCCCTTCAGTGCCACAAGCCTACTCTTTTCCCATTTACCCGAGAAATCATGAGCACTCGCAACCTTTACTGTCTCTGCTGTGTAGGGTTAACAGACACGGGGTGTTGGCTTGGACACACACGAATTTTCACTTCAACTGCAGGATCCCTGCCGAGTTTCCCCGAAACATCCATCCATGGCGAAGTTCCCAAATGCTGCCAGATGTGACAAGGATGATATCGTCAGTGGATTTAAACACGAGCTTGCCCCTCTGGCGAAGGAGACCTACTTCACGCCACCTGGAGACAGCAGTGCCTGGGACTGCCAGTCTCTTGCTTGATGACAGAAGGGCCCACACACTGTTGAGTGAAGAGAGAGACCGAAATTCTATCAGCTCAAAAGTAGGCTGGAGAACTACTCTGATTCCCAAATGCTCATTCTTTTTAACGTGCCAGTTGGTTGTGAGGCATTACCTGCCGAGACATTGCATTCCGATCACTAATCGGGGTGCTTCCTGCTACATGGCAAATGAACTAAAACTCCTGAGTTGGTTTCATTTCCTTTAAAGTCTGCTCATTACAGAGAAGTACCAGCCTTCAAGCTTATTAACACCGGAGTGTGGGCTGCTTGTCACCTGGGGCGAAGTCAGTTCACTGTAAGAGAACTCAATTTGCACTCTCTCCCCACCCCCAGGGGGTTTCAGTGAGGTTCCACTGCTCAGTCAGGAACCTGGTGAGCTCAGCAGACTCGGGGAGGAGGTATGGAGGGGGGAGAGAGGAAAAGGGGGGGAACAAGCAGGATGGTGGTCCCCGGACCGTGAATCTTCCAGGCTGCCCCTTCTCCCGTCTCAGCAGAAGCTGAGCTCCATCCAACTTCCCCAAGGCTGCCTCTTAAATACAATTCCCCACCTTGGAAAAGTTCGCTTTAAAGCAGTTGGTGTTGCAGACTGCACCCGCACCGTGAGCCCCCAAAACAGTGCCAGCGCTGGCTGTCCTCCCACCCCTGACCCCACCCCGCCATGTTGTCGTCCTTACAACCAGACAGGTCTGGCCCCTCCCACTGCCATAAGAACTGTCTTGGGGCAGAAAGACAAATGAATGTTCATGCTTTTAGAGACTCTCAGTGTTGCAGGCGTATCCACCCTTGTGGTGTCTCTGGGCCTCAGTAGAAGAAGAATTGTCTTGGTTCATGAAAGGGTCAGGTCAGTTCCCAGCCCGCCAGACCGCCAATGACCCAGCCAGGCCAGTTTCCAGCCCTCTGGACTGCCTATGACTCAGTTGTCCCCACTCGCTCGGTAGCCTGCGGCTCCACCTGAGCTGTCTCCCACTGGGGAGACACCTGGCGCCAGCCACCATAGCCTGTGGTCAGACTGACCCTCCTGCACCTGGGACAGATAGCCTGCCCTTTACCTAACGCATTGTCCCAGCTCCCACCCTAGAACCCTGAGGCACCACCAGGAAGTACAAGGGACTTATTCCTCCCCTAGCCCCACATGAACCCCGAGCTTTTTCTTTTAAAAACCCCACTCTTGCCTTCTTCCGGAGCTGAAGTCGACCCGACTCAGCCCGCTTCTCCGCACAACATCAAATAAAGGCACTTGGATCAGATCACCCAGTCCTCTCGCCTCTATTTCTCCTGCATTTCTACCAGGCCACACATTAAATACATTGCGACACGGAATAACAAAAGTATTTCATTATGTTTTAGGTAAATTTACGATTTGGTGTTTGGGCAGCCATCCTGCAGGTCTGACCCCGTGGAGAGGAACGAGATGCAGGCAGGGTTTCAGGCGGTGGGGACCAGGACACAGGGCTTGGATTGACATAAGCTGCCTCCACACTGAAAGGGTCAAGCCAGAGCCGTCTGCTACCGTGGCCCCATTTGCTGAGCGGGCCTGTGACCCTGTGAAACGTGACTGGCCTTTCACTCTTCTGAACTTGTCTCCAGGACTAGAAATGACTAGAAGCAGGAACAGACCTGACCACTCCCTGCAGCCACAGGCAGAGGATAAAACTGCCGCTTCGGGTTACCAGGTGCCACAGCCAATCAGAATCCAGTGAGAACTCAAAGCCCCCACCCCTTAAGGCTGGTGAGTCTCTCCACACCATGCCCCTCCTTCTACTTTCTTGGAGAGTGAATAAAAACTTCATCCTCTGCAGTTCCTTCTCTTTGCGAATTCTTTCACAGCCTGCATCAACAACCACCCTCACACACGTCAAAGGGTTCAACTGTCTGAAATTATCTTCCCTCGCACCTCCTAGAAATATTTACTCTGTACGTAAAGAAACAACAACCTTGCACATTTGTGGGGGGGGGGGCACACAGGTGACACGCCACCCACAGCTCACCTGGGAGTCTCGGTCCAGTGCTTTGAAGTCCCCCACCTCCTGGGAGGCCTGAGAGGGCTGCTCTGAGGTCCCCTCCCAGCTCATCCCCACCTGGAAGGCTGTCAGGAGGCGGTTTGTCTTCACCTCCCAGACTTGGAAGAGCCGTGAGGCCCCCTTGTTCATCCTGCCTTTGAGGATTGAAGGGGCCTCCTCAGCCCCAGGGGATCCACATGCAGGGGATCCAAGTGCAATGCTAAGCACCTGGGATGCTGCCTCGATGGGCAAAGACTGCAGGCCTTGATGAAGCAAGAGCCTCATCAGCTGGATATGGAAGACAGACATTAATCACAGGATTACTGGCATGAATATAAACCGCAATGGCAATGAGCACAACAGGATGCGGTGCCATGAGGATTCGACCCAGGGAGATCAGAGAAGCATCCCCTGAAGAAATGAGACTTGAGCTGAGAGCCAAAGGAGGGCAAAGTCAAAGAGGGGAGCATATGCCAAGGCCCTGTGGCAGGTGCAGCAGGGAGTCTGAGGCACTGAAGAAAGCCAGTGTGGCAGGAGTGCAGAGGAAGGGCAGGATAAATGGGAGGAGGCAGGAGTGGTGGGTGACGGACAGTCCACACGGGGCCCTTCCTCCCTCAGGACAGAGTTCTGACTTTGTGCTGAAAGAAAAGTGAGAAGACGGGAAATTGGGGGCAGTGGAATAGCGGCACTGTGATTGGATGTGAGTTTCAAACTGACAGCCGTGTGGAAAATGGACCAGAACAGGGCTGGAGAGGACGTGGGATGGCCACGTAGAGGCCAGTGACAGAAGACAGGACCCAGGTTCGGGTCACCTGGCAGAGTGGGAAGGAAGGCACAGGTCTGAGGGCCACGTAGGAGACAAAATGGGCAGGACTGAACTGAGATGTGCCAGGCAGGTGGGAGCACGTCGGGTGCGCAGGGGAGAGCAGTAGCTGGCTGGCGACACTCCAGGCTCCGGGTCCCAGGGGAGGGGCTGGAGTGGCAGGCATGGAGAACTGGAAGAATGAATGGCTTTCCTGTCTTCAGAGTAAGCGTGGCTTGGACAGGATTTCACAAGGGCTGCAGGGCTTGCCTTTGCTACCCTTCCCACAATCGGCCTCTGCCCAGACACTCTGCCTTCAGGTGGGAGCTGCCCCCAGGTCTCACGGGCTGTGGATTCTGCAATGAGAAAGAAACATGAGGCCCAACCTAACCCCTTTGTTTTCAGCTGAGGTTCGGGGCTGAAAATACTGCCCAAGACTTTTGATGTGGTTTCGAATAAACAATAAGTTTATTCCCTCAGAAATGGGTCCTACTGAACACTCGTCCCATGAGACCCTCTTCAATTGTTTGGTGAAATGAATTTGTCAAACACTGTATACTGTGGTCCCCTTCTGGATATTCATGATGCTCATTAGCATATTAGGGGTTCAGAGAAGTGCTGCAGCAAAACAAACAAACAAACAAACAAACAAACAAACAAAAAACCTTCTAAATCTAGTTTACCCGAATGGACTTTCTCATCCTCCCAAATGGCAATAAGGTACAGACCTTAGCACCCACCCTCAAGCTTATACTATTACTTCTGTATTCCAACTACATATGGGCCTGTCCTTTTCGGCATTGTCCCTGGATTCTTAGTCTCCAGCGTCCTACGCAGGACTGTCTCATCCCCGCAAAGGGCTCTGGGCTCCACAGTCACCAGATGCTTCCAGATTCTGAGTCTGTTGCTCAGCACTACCAACACCAGCTACAATAGAAAAAAAGCAATCCGAATAAACTGATTCGCACTAACATGTGAATGACTTGACAGCTTGCGACATCCTCACCCCAAAGGGCCGATCTTTTCCCAAACACTCCCTCATCAGTGAACCAACACATTTAGGGCATGTCAGAGAAAGAGCTTTTAGGGCAGAAGAGCCACCGTGTAGAACAGACCAGCTCTGGTACTTCCTGTTATCTAAATGATTCTTCTTCTCCAAAAATCTTCACTTCATCTACTCTTAAAAATCACAGGATCTATACGATGTCCAAGTTTATCCATTATTTAGTCACCCACTACTCAGCCATGCCAGTCTGCGTCAGAGAACCATTCATATTCTTCAAGGTCATTGTCTGTGGTGAGGAAGGCCACTGGGAACTAGGCTGGTGGTACAAGCAGCTTCTGAATCCTATCAGGCATTCCCGAACACATATCTCTGCGACATGTTTACTTGTATGAAGTCCTGACAGGTAAAGGTAAAAATGATACTCATGCAGTAGTTAGAGGAGTTTCTTAAAAACCTGGAATGAGACAGGTATTGTCATTGTCACCATTTACTAGCATTTCGGTGGCTAGCATCATCCCGCATTGACCCCCGCACCCTCTGGGTCTCTGACGCATAACTGGACCTTTCCACTGAGTTAACCTTTGTTTGCTCATTCCTTAAGCCTCTCATGAATTCGACCTGACTTAATCAGCTTAGCCAGGGTTCTCGGGGCTTCCTTAGCTCCATCCGGATTAGAGAAGAGCTACCAGGAGTTTGCTCAGTGCACACTGAGCCCTTTGCTATGTGGACTCTTTGGATGTTCTCTTGACACTGGAGGGGGAGGGCGTGCAGGGTGTCATGGCACAGGGCCGCACCCTCCACGCTGAGCCGGTGGCCCCTCTTCCGGGAAGTGACAATCTCCAACTTCCTTCTGCAGGGAAAACTCTTCACCACCAAGCAGATTGTCTGAAGCCTCTATTGTTTCTAGTCAGACTGTTTCATTCCCTGTAGTGTTGGACAATATTCCTTAACTGCTCCCTGTTCACGCTGCTTTTTAGTCCTGCAAGCTTTTCCGACTTTTCTGCCCGCCCCCGCTTAATTCACCGCAGGCTTGGGTACTCTGGCCTGGTGCCAAACGCCTCTGAAGTTTTCCTCCAGGGCTGCAATCAGTCCCCACTCTCAGTCTGTCTGTCTGTCTCTCACACTCACCGCACACCCCATACACGCTTATACACCATACACATACCCCCGACCCCGCCCAGACCCTGCTTCAGGAAATGCCCTAAGAAATATGCTGGGATCTGGGATAATTTAGGCAGAGCGACAAGACCTGAAGCCTGACAGTGTTCCTGGGAACAGAAATACTCTGATTGCCAACAGTTTGAAGTCTTCAAGTGCCCACATATTTCAAGCCACTTTGCCAAACAGCTAAAAATAATGCAAGGCCGCATCCCTTCAAGTCAGATTTT